AATGTACTGTTTGAACTACAGAAGATCATCAGCTTTAGACAACTTTTATCTGCCTGCATGGAATTGACACTTTGAAAATGTTCAAATAACAAACTGATTTATATGGCTGATCTGAGACCAGTGGCTCCTGTTGCATTTAGTGAATCCAAACACTATTCCTGTAGTTTAAAGTAATGAACCAGAAGAATTTACTTTTTTAATGTGCAGACAGGTGAAAATAATTTGCATTTAGCTTTTAAAATCTGTGTTTAAGTCAGATGATATATTTTGTGTTGGATTTAGCGTCACCATATAAGCAGACTGTGTCGCCGCCCACACATTGGAGAAGGAGGTATTTCAGGCTATTCTGTTTACAGCCTCCTGTTGTGAGCCGAGAGCCAAGCTGAGGCAGGCGGGCTACGCCGAGGCCCCGTGGTTGCGGTCGCAGGCCCATGAGATGTTTTCTGTATCAGCAGCTGGTCTGTCACACTCCCACGCTGGTCTGTTAGACACCAGGAGAAAATAAGTGAGTCAGAAAGGAAGCAGGAAACAGCTAAGAAAAGGCAGAGGGCTCAACTATGAAGCAGGTTTGACATAGCCAGGCTTTCTTTGTGTTAGCCGGCTCGACAAAACCTAAAACCCCAGTCAGAGAGAACGAGTGTCACCACTGTGGTTATCAGCTTTTGTTGTGAAGCAGGTTTGCTTCATCTGCTCTCATGAAAGAGAGGCGCCTGACATGTGGTTTGACTCTTCTTCTGCACAGAATCAACAGATGGTAAGCCGCCTACTTCAGTCAAGAGGAGCAGGTTGTTAGAATTCATTACTGTAAAATGTGCTGCTAGAGAGAGGAATGCTCTTATTCTAACAATTATGCAAACTTTATTCAGTCGTACTTACTCAGATTTTTTTTCTTGGTTCCTTGTTGTCATTTTGCCAAAAACAAGGGTAGTGGATGCTCTTCAACTTACAAAAAAAAAAAATCAGAGGGATTAGTGTGATAAGCTCAACTAAAAATATCCCGTGTTCATGATCGTCATGTTCTCTGTCCAGACCTGCTGTCAGTGGAAGAGCATTAAAATCTGGGTTCTTAGATAATCAGAGTTTTCTAATGATTGTTTACTGATACAAACAGAACAGAACACAGGAGTGACAAATCATGACATATTTATAACTGAGTGGAAAGATTGTGGAGTCCTTATTTATGACAAGATTAAGCTCTGTGTTTAAAAAGAAATTACACAAAAAAACCCCACTAAAACACAACATTTACAGTCAATATAAAGTAAAGGTGGCAGGTGGGATCATAAAAAATGTGTTTTTCAGTCATTTATTTTGGTCGATGTGGTGTCAGAAGCTTGAGGCTGTCACACTGAGACTGTTTCATCACGTAAAGCTGCTTTTCTTTACAGAATTTTCAAGAAATCAGAGATTTTCTCCACTATTTATATTTATATCATGTGTGATTAGCTCATTATTGAAAAGCTCAAAGCAACAAGAATCACCTGAATATTTATGATTGTTGCAAATATCACACCTACATGTTTGCTTGTTGTGAGGGTTCTTGTGAAACTGTGGTTAAATGTCATCTTTTAAAAATGAAGCAGCTGCAAATAATGCAGTAAAAGGGTCAGAGAGCATTTTTAAAACTTCTAAACTATTATCACACTGTCTGTTTTCACCTCAATTAAAGCTCAAAGTTTAAGCCCTTTAAAGACAACAAGACAACACAAAATAAACACAAACACAAAATAAAGTTTTATGGTTTCTATGTGGCTAAATAAACTACAAGAATTAATTGTGAGAAAAGCAGTGATGCTTTAAAATACACATCAAGTCAGATCATTAACTGATTCAGACAACTGAGGAAGATCCGACACAGGAAGGCAGCAGGACTGGACAAGGTGTGTCCACGGATGCTCAAGTCCTGTGCTGCTCAACTGGGGGAGCCCCTCAGCCTGCAGCTGGGGACAGTGCCCACCCTCTGGAAGACATCTTGCATCGTTCATGGAAGCTGACTGGCGACCTCCTGGACTGGACAGACCCCTATGCCCTCGCCCCACCAGCAAAGAGGAGGAGAGTCTGTGAAGACAAGCCGCCACGAAAACGGCGTTTGAGTGAGATTTACGCTGATCCCTCAGAGATCTTCTCACCACCCAGCAAAAGGAGAAGAATCTCTGATGTGACATCTCACAGTGGAATCTCCACAGCTGTCAGAGCCGCAGACTTCTCCTTCTCCATCAACCGTCAAAGCAGCTGAGACCCCGACCAAAGTCTGGATCATCGGGTCCAGCTACATCCGACGAGGGCAAGAGGCAGCCAGACGAGAGTTTGGGGAAAACCTTGGCCTTAACACCAAGGCCTATTGGTTCGGCAAAGGTGGCCTGAGATGCAGCGGCATCATTTCACGTTTCTACGCCGAGCTGGCCACACAGTATCCCCCCTGACATTTTGGTGGTCCACGCCGGAGGGAACGATCTGGGGCTCGTGTCTCCGTGGGATCATGCCGCCACCATTAAGGAAGACCTGGTGCACCTCCACAAGGCGTTCCCCTTCATGGCCATCGTTTTTTCCGCCATCAATGAACGTAAGGCCTGGAGATATGGGGACGCTGGAAGTGACCGCAAAGTGGTCAATGAGTGCATCAAGGAGGCTGCTGGCAGCTTCGGCGGAAGAGTTACTGAGCACCCTTCCCTGAGACACTTGAATGTGTGGATTAAGTCATGTTTTATTATTATCATCATTCCATCTGAAATGACCACATTTTTCGAACAGTTTCTGCTCAACTAGCTTTGATTTGTCTCATATTTTAATATAAATTATAGACATAATAAAAATAATAAAACAGTGAAAAATACATGTTGCCTTAAGTAAAAGTTGAAGTATGCACGTTAGTAAAATCCATCCATTTCTTTATCCTCTGTAGGTCGTAAAGAACAAAGACGACAGCCATCCTTGGCCACCAGCCATCATTTTGTTAATTTTCTTTTCTTTTTTTTTAGTTATTTAGTTAGTTAGTCCTTTAGTTAGTTTTTTGAATTCTTAGTTAGTTCTTTAGTTCGTTTTTTTGAATTCTTTATTTAATGAAATGAAATGAAAAATACTTTATTCATCCCAGAAGGGAAATTCAATTTAGTTCTTTAGTTAAGTATTTAGTTATTAAACTGTTTTTAGTTAGTGTTTTCTAATTCTTTAGTTAGTTTTTTAAAATTCTTTAGTTCATTATTTAATTCTTTAGTTTTTTTAGTTTGTTCTTTAGTTATTTATTTACTTATTTCTTTCATTTCTTTCTTTCTTTGTTTATTGTATATATTGTAGAGATATTATTTTTATAAAATAAAAAACCTTTAAGGCATGCACAATAGTTGTACATAGAATAAATAACAATTAAATGCAGAGACAATTATTTAACAATATGTAAAGGAGTCGTTACATTTATACAGGGTAAACATAATGCTTATGTGGCCCGGGATGAAAATGAGTTTGACAGCCCTGCTCTACTATTTGCTCTGTGAGCGCAGCTTGTTGTTGGAACAAGTGAAGACAAGTTGAGTACATTAAAGTCATGCAGGCTTCAGACTGTCTGTATATATAGAAAAATCCTTATTAAGATAAGAAACATATAAAAAAAAAACCACAAGAGGATGGAACCAGGAGAAACAACTCAGCTGCAGATTTGTATGCTTGATTGACATGCAGAGCAAAAAAAGGACGAATTTATGAACACTAGTGGCAGCAACTTGTCCTCAGTTTGTCTCTCCAAATGTCCACAGTTTAAAATAATAATACCAATAATAATAATAACAATAACGATAATACTGCTGTCTATGTCCTAGTTTGTGGTTGGCTAAAGTTCTGACAACAGAAATGAATTCTTCTCGTTTGTTCTCAGTGGAGCGAGATCAGACTATTGAGCTTTATTTTTTTTTCTCCGGTTATTGTTACCTTATGTTTTACTAAGTTGATGAATAGTTAGTTTCTTTGGTTGGTGGTGAGGATTCAGATCAGGACGACACTATTGTCAGGAGAACTGAATTAGAATTGTTCCGGTTCTGTAAATGACATTAATATCAGAAAACAGACAAGAATACTAGAATTTAGATGCAACATCTTTTCTTTCTTTTATCTTTTCTTATCTCGCCTTCCATCTGATATCCGTCAGTCTTTACAGAAGAGTCAGCAGCGCCCTCTGCTGGCCTCAGAATTAAATCAGGAGAAGCGTTTGGAGCAGAGGAGGCCTCATACCCAGGACTGCAGTTGTTATTGTTTCAACAATAATTGTACATCTGATAGGTACTGAAGCAAAGGTGACATCTCAGGTCTATGAGTAAGTAGATTGTGGATGGACTACACCTTTAAAACTATAAATATTTGCACACAAAGTAAGAAAGAAAGTTATATTTTGGGTGAATTAAAACCATAACTTTGTTAGTTAGAAAGTGATGTCTGGATGGAGGTAAACATCAATCCACAGTGTTCAGTATTCTCCTTTAGTACATGTAGATTTTTAGAATTTCATCTCGAAATACTCATCTGAATAAAGTGCCGTGGTGTTTTTGGAACTTCTGTGTTTCCTACCAAAGAGCAGCTTCATTATATTTGTTGGGAACTGTAAGCACGCTGGATTTTATGTATTTATTTTAACCCTTACAGAAAAAAAACTGTTTAGAAGCATATAAATTGTGTTTTTCTGACTGACAACGATTCTTATACCTGCTTGTGATAAACCATCCTTCTATGTTTTAAGCTGAACACACAGAGACACACTTTGATCTCCACATCAGCTCAGCCGCGCATGACTTCATACAAACTGTGTTTTTGGTGTAAAACAGAACGAGAGTTTGAGCCGTTTGTCACAGAAAAAAGATTTATTTAAAAATAAAGTTGTATCCCTCTTACTCATCAAGGACTGTGGAACCAAAAGAAAGAAAGAAAGAAAAAAAAAAACAAAGAAGAACAAAACCAAAAGTAGTCACTGTTCACCTGTCGCTGCTCGGAGCACAGCCGTCGCCGCTCTGCTGCTGCTTCACACACTCGATGCCAAGAGAGCTTCAAACAGTTGGACAAACAAATACACAATACATGTTTGTGACTGTTTTTCTTCTTCTTTTTTTTTTTTACAATGTAGACATTCAATGCTGAGGTCAACAAAGACAAGATATGGTGATTTGTTCTGTACAAGCTTTGCTGCTAACAGAAATTAAATAAGGCTTTTAACGAAACAAGGTCCGGGCCGACTGTGAAGGCTTCAAAATGCTTCTTCATACTACAGCTGGAAACATCAGCGTGGGTTCAGCTTCCATGGTATGGAAGGATAATGCTGGTGATGCTCCAGATTTTTATTTGAATAAATCCCATAAAAAGACCAAAACCACCAAATTTTGAAGCACCTATTGTGTGCGAGCAGCTTATTTGGACTCAGTTCCGCCCTCTCAGTCTGCTGCTTTCAAAGATTAATATCATCAGTAAATATGGAGGGCTGCATTCTGCTGTTCAGCTTTTCTGTGATTTATTTTGAAAAAAAAACACAGGATGACTGCAAAGTATTAAACATCTTAGAACGATTGGGGTGATTTTGAAGGAGAGTGCATAGAACATACAAAATAAAAGTTACTGTGCAGACTATTTTTTCACCATTTGGAACCTTTACCATACAGTGGAACACTCACAGAAAGAACATCATCCTTTCTGGAGATGAAATATTTCAATACAAGTGACAGGAAGTGCACAATCATAATAATAATCAGCTGAGATCAACATTAGCCTATCCATCACAATTATTCATTAGGTTTTAGAAACAAAAGCGGCTACTTGCTAAACATTCGCTGTGCACATGTTTGTCGACAAACTCTACCTCGACATACTCAAGTGTACCCAAGAACCTTTAAACGAGACTAAAATATGTTCCAACAGACACACTCCCTTCTCATGGGATTCGTCGTGAAGCACCACCAGCTTAATGCGAAAGAGGAACGCTGCTGTTGTTTTAGAATCTGAACCCACTCGTGTGTACGTCACAGCCGCAGGAGGTCAAAAAGCGAGAGCAGATTGTTGTGGGTAATTAGTTTAAGGCAACAAAAATCATAAAACTCCTTATTCTACATGTGCTGTGATAATTTACTCATTTGGGTGATCTAAGTACGGTTAAAACATCCCTAGCTAGGCTTCTGGTGTTCATATAAATGTATGGCAAACTGAACTGTCTGATAAAGACCCAATCAGTGTCATTTTCCAAACACGAGGAGCTAAATTGAACAAATCTCCAGATTAAATCGTGGATTTAAATTAAAAACAATAAATAATCTTAATTCAGATGAGCAGCAAAAGTGAAAAGGATCCTGTAAGAACTCAAAAAACTTCAATCTGGGCCTGAAGGCTGCTTCAACACTTCAGGTTAAACAGGCGAAAGTGACCCCGACATGAATCCTCTGACGGACCGCAGCTCACAGACAAGTTGCCGACGGTCAAACAGAAGCGAACTTAAAACCACGAAAAAGGCACATCATGTTCTTTGAAACGCTAACTTGGCAGCAGATCACTGACCTGTTTTAAAAAAAAAGAAGAAACAAGGACATAAAAACAGTCTGAGCGGACAGTGAGGAAGTGGAGGCGGTGGAACTGAACGCTGCCGTTCAGGCTGAACGTGTGCAAACAGAAAAACTGAGATTGGAAATCAAAGCACATTAAAGTGTATGAGGCTCCTTTCACGTTTATCTGCGAGTGTTCGTCTTAGAGAAACAGTGACGGGAGATTAATAAAAACACAATTTGTGCCTAAAAACTACATATTTGTGGGAAAAAAAAATTTTTTTTGTGCCCAAAATGTTCAAATGACAAACTTAATACACAAATATATTAACGACCATGAATGAGTCTGTTTTTAGCATCACATCACTGCTGAAAGCCGGACAGCCGCAGACTAAACCTCCTGGTCTCCGTCATACACTTGAAGATATTTTATTTTCTTAAATTACCTTCCATAAATAAAACTCTATAAAAAGAACGAAAAAAAAAACAAAAGAAGACACCCCCCTCCTATAAATAAAAAAACAAAGATTTCCAGCAAAACACAGCGATAAAGATCTGTATACAAAATAAATACAAAAGAAAAACCCTTATGGACAATATACAGTGTTACTAATATCCTGTTAAACCTCCAAATAGATTAACTTAGTGCATTTTTTTTCATTCACCACAAGAACTACAAATTTTCTTTTTTTTTCTTTTTTTTTTTTTTTGCAAATCTCCAGGCAAATTAAGATCCTAACGATTATCCAAAGAAAAAACGCGGTGATGCAAGGTTTTTTTTTTTTTTGCGCCACTTTCGGAGCGCTTCGTTGGCATGTTTGCGTACAGTTTGCTGGACAGGATTTACAGCTGCTGTGTGGCAGACGGGAGACGAGTGTTGGTTCTTTTTTTTTTCTTTAAATCTGTAAAGACAAGGACGAACATCTGGGGAAGGTGTTTCTCTGCAGGCTGTGGAGTCTTACGAGGCTTCCTAGCCTGGTCTAGGTGTTACCGCTGCTACCCACGACGAGTTTATCATCTACAACGTCACAACATCCTAACGACACTTAGCCACAGAGAACGACCCTCACCCCCCCACTCCCTGATCCCGATCCTCGTCCTCTCGGTAGTACCGCATGGTGAGCTGAAAACAGTCGGACTGAGACATCTCTCATGATTCTCTACTGGCCTTTTGACGCAGTCCTTTAAGTAAAAAGTCTCATTCGAAAACAAGTGTGCAACTTAAACGTGTGAAACTCTGATCCAAGGGAGGAATGAAGACTCGTCGGAAGTCTGGGGGAAATGTTAAAACTCCCAGAATAAAAATCTAGACATCGACGTTACATCTCGCCTCTTTTATCCAGAAGAGAGTTGGTTACAGTGTAAAACTGGGTTCTTCTTTAGCCACCTCCATGTGTGTGGTTCTTCTGTATATATATTTATATGCTTTTGTGTTTGTGTGGTGGGCCTTGAGGCGTGCCAGTCCAGTGCAAACCTACCTAAAGAATAACAGTTTCAGATTAGAGCAGGGGGGAGATGGATGGAGGAGTGAGGGTGGCTGTGATGGGGGAGGGGGGGTGAGAGTCTCCTTGGTCCCTGGCTGCTGACAAAACAGGCAGGCAGTCACTGATATGTGCAGTCCAGCCAGGCGGGAGCACAGAGCTCATCTGCTGGGATTTCAAATTCGACTCCCTTTTGTTGATTCAAGTAATTTCACACCGCGTCGGCGCCACCGCTGCTGAATCTGCTCAGGAGTGTTTTTCCTCCCGCAGCTGGAGGAAAACAATAAATATGAAGAACAAACGCAGTCTCGTGATTTTTTTTCTTTTTCTTTTTTTCCCCCAAAAGGAGTCCGTTGTGTTTGATTGACAGCTGCGTGGCTGCGACACCCTGGAGTGTGTGTCTCTCAAACACACTCACTCAAGCTGCTCCGGCCACATCTTGAACCCCCCCCCCAAACCCTCCCCACCGGCACCACCCTCCGTCAGCCCGTGTGTCGGTGCTATAGGCAGTCTTTGCACAGCGCCACCTGGCCCTTCATGTAGTCGCGGCAGGGGCAGATGCGTCGCAGCGACTGGTGGGCGCCGGCGCAGCTGAACAGCAGCAGGTCGGACTGGAAGATGCAGTGGTGGCGGGTCTCGCTGTAGGCTGGGACCACCGTGTCGGCGCTCGACTCCACCGTCTGACAGTCCACACCGAACCTAACACACACACAGACACACACACAGATTACTTATTAGTGGTCTTAAGCTACAAGACAACTTATTTTGTTTTTGTTTGGTCCATGAATGTGGAGGAGAACTGCTGTAGTAATGTTCCTGAGCATCAGTCATGACGGGCCTTGACCCATTTACTGCAGTCGGCACTCAGGGCCCCCCAGTGGTGATAACTGGATACTGCAGTTTATAACCATTCATTTATTTTAATCCTGTGTTCTGCTGCCACCTTAAACGTAGCAACTACAACTGGGACAAAGTGTGCACCTGTGTGTCCTGCTGGATGTGTACATGTGTGCATCCCACCTGGCCAGGTCCTTGTCCTTGTTGAGGTGCTGGAAGAAAGAGGGCTCACAGATGAGCTGCTCCTCCTGACACACCTGCTTGCAGGTGCGTCCGGGTTCGGCCATTTTCACCTGCAGGGCGCTGAGAGGAGGCCACATGACCTGACCGTGACAGAAGTCCTGCCGACACAGCATGATGTCATGGAACAGATATACACTAAAACAGACGCTGCACCTCAGAAAATGGAGCCAATTATTATGTTGTTCAGCTGTTTCTGTTCAATCAAATCTCAGAAGAAGTAAGATGATGAAGTCTATCTACAGGCAGTACCTGGTTCTCAATGAAGGCGTTGACCCTCTGCAGCATCCCCTCACAGGTGAATTCGTAGGGCAGGTAGGGCTCAATCTGATCACAAACACAAGATGTAGACTGGTCAAACAGTGTCAGGAGAGGATTACTGTGGCTACTGAAGCATGAGAAGTCGCACACTTTACAGTCCAGCTACAAAGCCAGGGAGTGTGTTTGTGAACAGAGCTAACAACAGCTTGTTTCTCTGTGTGTCTCCACATGAAGGCACACAGAGAAGTCATCCTGGTGAAACATTAGCCCGCTGTCTGCTCTTTGCACTGCTGTCTTTGGAGTCCCGTCGGCCTCGGCGGACTCTGATTTGCAGAAGAAAGCTTCAAACAGGGAGGACCAACAACTGCAGCCTTTGTTGTTGCACTAAGTCACTTGCTGCTTTCTCACAGTCTTTGTGCGTGGGGTGGAAGACGAGGAAGAGGAGAGGGAGTGAGCGCGAGCCAAGCCGGAGCCTGGTAGGCTGCAGCTCGCCATGGATCACAAAGCATATGAGGCTCCGCCGGCTTGTCCAGTGAACAAAGCCATTGTTCCGACCCGCTCGGCGGAGCACAACAATACACGAGGTCCTGGGCCCAGCTTTAAATATGCATGGGCCTGGACAAGAAGACGGAATAGGATCTCTGTTTCTGTCCCCCGTGCTTTCAATCATCCTCCGTCTCTGGCCAAGTTTTTTTTCTAAGCAGTTTTTGCCAATTAGGATCCAGTTTTGATGATCTCTTATTCATGAATGCCGTTTATTTTTAGCAGCTCTTGGTCCCATCCTCTCAGTTGTGAGGATTTGCTGCTTTTTTAACACCGCGTGAAATATCGTTCAGTTTGAGGCAATGGTGAAAGGCATTTTTCATTGTTCTCTTTTTAATTTTATCGAGTGAGTCATTGATTAACCCAGATGGATCATAAATCAGTGCAGGACTCCTCCTATATAACTATATAAGTAAACAGACACAGTATGTAACTGTTCACAATGATTTCATACAACTACAACATTAATTATTCATGTGAATGACTAGTTTTTATTCATTCATTTACACAACCTTTATATGACACACTCTTCATTTATTTATTTATTTATTTAAACTTTTAAACACATTCAGTTTTTATTCTTCCTCTCCTACACCGTGTATCAGAGTTCTGTAATGTTACATTAAAGCTAAAACATTTAAAGAGCCCATACTAGGCTTTTTTGGGTTCTCCTTTAGTGTGTTATGTTTTGGGATTTTTTGTGCATGTTGAAGATCTTCCAACTTAAAAGTCATTAAAATGAGTCATTCTCTCACACAGAAAACACTGTTCCTGACTTGCCTTGTTTAAAGTCCAGGCTTTTCTTGCGTTACTTATCTATGTCATCATGTGACACATTTGCGTAACGGCTGTCTAGTGGCTAGTTAGGCACTAATTTGAACAAAGAACAAGCGGCGGCTTCACAATCCTGCTGTAAATATATCCTTGTATATCATAAAAAGAAAATTATTAACCTGGAAATGTAAGTACTATAGGCTCTTTAAACATTTGTGAGGCAAAAATTAGAAAAAATTCACACATACTAGCTTCTTAAATGTGAAGATAAGTTGTTTTGTACAATACGAACCATATTTTTCCAGAACGTCTCTGAGATTTTGGACGGTCTGTCAGGCCAAACGAGGCTTCTGATTATGCGCTTTTGAAATTATAATATTTTATAGGCCAAATGCTGGCTCAAAAATATATTTAGCACATTAATTAATAATGAAAAAAATCATCACATAGAGTCAGACATTTCATAATTATTGTGCAGCGATCCTATAAAACACAACATAGTTAGTTTGCAATTAGAACACAAGTTTCAGCTTCTGATACAGTTTTCAACCCTCTTCTTAACTGACTGAACTTCAGAAAAAGGAGCTGTTTAATTATTATAAGATATTCCGTTTCCACGTCTTCATATTGTATTATTAATACATCGACACATTTCATTACAAAATCTTCATCTCTTATTCGTAAAGATTCGGTCCAGTGTTTACCTTCTGGCTGAGGATGGAGCGGATGGCCTTCTCCACCTCGGCAGAGTTGTCAATATCCACCGTCCACACGTGGGGCTGACCTATGTACACCTCGGCGTACGGATGTTGAGAGGTCAGCTGCAGACAGGAAAACAAGCAACGGGAGAGTAGAGGTGAGGAAAACAAAACACATTTTAAAAGTCATGTCGTGAGCCAGACGGCCTGCAGAGTGAAAACCTCCTCTTACCTCTCTCAGAGTGGGTTTGCCCTTGAAGAAGTCGGTGTTCTTGCTGCTCTTTGGAGGGTTGAATTTGGGGTTGAGGAAGGCACAGCCGTTGGCGATGGCCTCCAGGGGGGCAGGGCCCTCGTAGGGGAAGGACAGACCCACAAACAGCTGCAATGGAGAGGAAAAAAATAAAGAATGAATTGGTTTAAAGCGGTTGAGAATTACTACATGTCAGATCCTGAATCCTTCACCTACTGCCCTCCTAAGCTCTTATTCCTGTTACTGCTTTTCAAAGCGTTTTCCTCCACATGATTTGTAGGTTCAAGAGGAAAAATGTCAAGTGTGCTTTGACTCCAGACATGACTTCCTTACTGTTGGCTGCTGCAACGTCTTTGTTCGAGGGATTTAAAATAAAGGCCAGAAGCCAAAAACAAACACATCACCAGTTAAATGTGTCTGTTCTAAATCAAGATAAGATACAGCTTTAACTGTCGGTGACACAAACAACAACCGCGACTCGTGCAGACTCGTGCCGACAACCGGAAGAACTCAACGCCGGCTTGGTCTGTGTTCACACTTTTCAAACTGCGAGCACGTGTTCATCAGTGAAAGCAGGAAGGAGGTGGCGCGCGAGAGTCTGCAGCTACTGAAATAACAGAATAACAAAGACGCCAGTGGGCACAGAAGGGCAGAAAAGTTCACTGGCTGTGCTGAAGAATCTCTGTTTGCTGATAGCAGCAGTTAGCCCTTGTTGAAACAGATCTCCCGTGTTATCAGCACAAAATACGGTCGAGGCAGCACATTTTCTCCATGAAACAGGGGAGGATAAACAAGCGGAACAATATGAAGACGTCGCTCTTGTGTTTATTCCTCCCACGGGCCGGCAGAAGTTTGGCAAAGCGGGAGTACCTTAGATATTTTGCAGATGGCATGTCGGCAAGAGTGTAAGTTATTAATGCTGGTTCTGGAAGGCCTTCTGAGTGTTTTTGTAGTGCACATATTAAAAAGAAAAAAACGGCATAAAACATGAACACATTTTTACTATTTTGAAGACAGAACGAAATTCTTGGGGAAGTTTGTTTTAGGATACTGCATGTACTGCGTAACCACACGTATATTTAAGTAAATACTATACATGCTGAGAACTGAGGTGGGGTAGGTGGAGAGCAACTCTAATAACAACTTCTCTCCTCCCGATGGGAAGAGCAAATATTTGCGAGGCACTTGCAGCATGCCGTAACCAGAAGCAGCTTGTCCACATGGGCCTGTTATCGAGAAGCCGAGAGGGGAAGGGTGGAGGTGGAGGAGGGGGTGACGGGAGCGATCCGGGCGAGCGGCTCATTTAGCTGAAAGCCAGAGTCGGCCGGCTACAATGGCCAGTCTGTGTGTGTCTGTACTGGCCACTGTGTATATCTGCCCGACACACAGAGACATACAATGCGGCACTGTACCATAAAGTATGTCTGCACGCACACGAATAATCAGACCGATGTTGTGAATTATGCTCTATGTTCCTGCGTCTCCAACCTACAGACTCCTGCCAGCAGGTGGCAGCAGAGCATTCTTCTGCACACGCTGAATGAACGTCTGCATGCAAAGGCTCCTCACAGCTGAGAAACAGTCGACCACTATTTATAGGGAGCGAGAAGGGGAGGGGATGGAGAGAAAGAGCAGCTATATATGAGAGAAATAGAAGTAAATCCATACAGACTGAAGGACTCAAAGGCAGCAGTTAATAGATGATTAATGCATCTCCGCAGAGATCAATAAGAATCTCCTTATTAGTTTACGTTCAACCTGTTTTGTATATCGGTACATTCGTGCAATGCTTCATATCAAAGCTTCTATTGATTTGAACTTCTGAAGAAATGTCACACATTACTGTAAATCCATATCCTGATTCAAACACAGGCAAGTGCAGTAACGCTGGACAAAAGGTGATATATAATTCCTCTGTACTTTTTCAGTGGAGGGCTGCAACTAATTATTGTTGACATTAACAAAACCTGCAGGTTTAATGTGTAAAATGGTTAAAAATGGCATTAAGAATTTCTTAAAGGACACTATAATGTCTCTAGTTTGCTTGCTAACAAAAAAAAAAGCAATAACATATTAATTCCAAACTCTGCTGCCCGTGTGCAGACCAGGAGCAGAAAGACACCTATTAAAGAAAATCTCTGTCTTCACAATGAGTCTTTAAAGCACCACTTGCACCGGGCGGCTCGTCTGAACCAGGACGGTCTCTCAGGTCTTTTAGCTGTTTCAAAAGTGCAGCACAAACACTTTTACTGAAGCACCTTTTAGTTTTAGTGCTCCCAGTGTTGGAACTGTCTACCTGAGGACTCAAACACAGCTGAGAATCTTTATACCTCTGAATGCAAACCTTATATCTCCCTTTGCAGTCTGTCGTGACGTTTAATTGGAATATCTTGTAGCCAATAGTTAATACAGCTAATTATTTGGCTTTTCATTGGTTGATCCATTTTATCTAGTTTTATTTTTAAGTTATTGTTGTTCGATAAGCCTTTTCGACATTTTCTTTTCCACTACATTTATTTCTTGTGTGGTTTACTCTCAAATTGTTTCACTGCTATTTAAACAGTCACCTGTAAAGCACGTTCAACTGCACTAACCTGAACAAAACATGCTGTAAGTCTGAAGAGTCTACTTCTTTGTTTGGTAAATGTTTGGCATTTTCGCTTAAAAGATTTCTGGCACGATAATCAAATAGTTGCTATTTAACTTTCTGGCCATCGACTAACTGAGTCGTCACTAATTTATAGAACATAGAAGCCAGTGACGTTAGCGTTTATGGTTTTATTTATAGGTTCAGTAAAAGCCAGAGAAATCATAAGCAGATAATAACCACACTGCCAAATTATTTATGGCTTTCTGGCAGAGCACTGGCTGCTACATTTGCATGTGTGTGGATGTGTAGATGGAAACTGGCAAAGGTGAAATCATGATGAAATGGCTTCACTGAAACAGACTTTATCCAATATTATAAGACATAAAGACCTACTTTTAACTACAACACCTTTCCACAAGACTCTCACAGCAAAATACATTTTAAAAAAATCACTCAATATGATACAGGACCACATATAGAAGTGGCCTCAATCATAATCTGATTAATTTGTGCTTTTCAAACAGTAATTACAAATCAGATTGGAGCCAAAAAATCTGATTTGAGCCACTTTTGCCTGCAGTCTAAAGTTAATTTATGCCTTCATTATATCTAGACTCAATCACGTATTTATTCATTCACTTTGTCTAAAATCCTTAAAGGGGCCATATCATGCAAAATCCAGTCTTCATTGGTTTTGAACATAATTACATGTCCACATTGTGTCTACAGACAAACAAAACAAGAGGAAAAACCATCCATTGTTCATTTTTCTTTCTGGTATAAAACCTTTAACACCTATCATAGGCATGTAAGATTTATCGATCTGTGTAGTATTTTGAGCTGAAAACACACATTCTGGGGACGTGTGACAACTACTTCAACCTGGTAATAAGGGGACCTTCAATGGTCACCGTTTTAAAAGCTGATTATATGACCTGTGCTTGCATTGTGTTATCTAAATTCTTTCTGTTTGTTCAGGTTGTCTAGAAAGCGAGTATCTTGAAAACGATTACTTCTATGAAAAGATCACACTGTTTTCATATTGTATACTCGTTTATTTTCCTGTTATCTCCAACGATAGTGTTTCAGCGCTCACATGCAGCAGACGCTCATGTGTTTGCATTTAGGATTCAGTGTCAGCTGACTTACGGCACACAGCTAGAGGAAGATTACATGCAAGTAAGTGAGCACGCTATATTTACCTTTGACTCACATGTAAATGTAGGTTTATGAGGTGACAAGAATGACAGTTGCTATACAAATGATGATGTAAAAACAAAAAAAAACTTGTTCACTCCCTTGTGTCTTCCAGCACAAGGTGTTTTCATAGCTCTGCACGAGCCCCTGTCATCACCTAAAACATGGCGGCTGCTGAGTTTAATGACCCAGTGAGTTAATTAGGCTGTTTGTTCGGGGTATTTCTAATTCCAGCACCTGCAGTGGGACGTGTGTGTTTGCCTCTGTGATGATTACGACGACAAAATAAAACAAACAGAGAAAATTGGTATTATAACTTTAAAACATAATTCCTTGCTTGTCTTGCATATCAATTTATTGTTAATGTGGTTGGTGTGTGAAGGAGAAGGGAGAGAAAAGAAGCAAAAAAACACAAGCAAGAAGAAGACGGAAGGAGACAGCAGGAGGTAATTAAACAGGTAGAGTTAGGGAGGCGTATGAGATGGATACGAGGCACAAAGTCAGAAAAATCCCAAACCTTTGACTCTGTCAGGCTGTAACATGACGCGGTAAAGCTTTGTGATACGCCGGTGGTTTGATCGCTGACACTATTCCCCCGATGCAGCACAGAACGTCAGAGTTTATTTCAGGAAATTTTGGTTTTGCGAGAAAAATCAAATGTCAGGCGTCACCGGCAACATACTCATCTTCACAGAAGCGCCTCCACGCAGGAGTATTTTTAAAGTGCACTCTGTCGATAGTTAAGCCCCACGAGGCCAATTAGCTCAGGCAGTCTGCTCGCAGGTAACTGTAAATGTGTTGCTTAAGCAGGACGAGTGCCTACAACACATCTTGTTTTCCTTGTAAACTCTTAAACAACAACGCAGCAAAAAGTGTTGGGGTTTTGTGGGATTTAATTGGCCATTCCCCCATGGGTTTCCCCACTGAAGCGCATGTAACGAGAAGATATGGAGGTTTAGACTATATCCCAATCCTGGTTGGTGTTAACCTACCAGACTATGCTAATAAAGCACCAAATCCAACAAATCAAAATTCACCCCCTTGTTTGTACAGCACTGTCTGGCACCAATTTCCATGTTGTTTGTCTTTAGTCTTTAATGATCTGCTCCACTGCAGAACGCTTCTCTCTCTCTCAGTGGCTCCAACATCCTTGGTTTCAGCTGCTCGGTACAGAGTTTTATGGCTAAAGCAATGCTCGAAATCGTCTTCAGTACAAAAGGGGTTTAAATCTCAATCCATCTTTTTCTTTTCTATAACTGTCTGAATCGTGATCTATGGCTCTCATACACTTTCTTTCCCTGCCCCGGCTCGTCTGATGTCTCTCTCCTCTCTCCGGCTGCTGCTCTTCCCTCCGTCGCCTGACAGGAAAGTATCTGGTTTCAGAGGCAAAGGAAATCGAAGCTTTCCTCCAACTTATTTTCCAGAAAAGGATGAAGACTAAAGACAGACTGCTGCTTTCAATGCCAGAATAAATGAATGTTTTCACCTTCAGCCGACATTGGTGTCAGATGTTTGAGGACTATGTCTTTTTAATTCCGATCTGCTATGGCAATGAGCGGCTTCGTAAGAACGGGTGAAAATTCAGTTTTTTGTTGTGAAAAGGAATGAATAAGAAGCAGGTCCTCTGACTGTTCTAAAGTCTTCCCCTGAATATGACTGTCCAATCACAGCAACCACGACTGGTCACGGCCTGACAAGCACTGGATCTCTCCTTCTCTGAAGCTCTGGACGCTGTCAGAACTTCGGCTGATGTTTATTAGAAGAACCCCAGCTAACACCTCAGGCAAAAGCCTTCCACGGTTAAAGCGGTTAAGCACATTGTTTGAAAACAGTCTGATCTTAAATTTTCCCTTATAACACTAGAAGTAACTGACTTTACACTTGAAAAACAAGCATTTCTGCTTTGTTTTCTACACAGATTATGAGCTAGCCTGACTTTCTGCCTGGGAACAGTAGCCGTACGTCCCCATAAAATGCACCTGTGAGACGCTTTTATGGGGTTGTCCTTTTTAAACCAGTCAGCTGGAAACATTAAAAAGTCAGCCAACTTATAGAGCTAATGTTTGCTTAATCAGACTACAGCTGACAAAGTCTGCCAGCAGCAGCAGCAGCAGCAGCAGCAGAGTTTCACCAGAAAAGCTGAAGTTCTGCAGCTAGACATGAGAAACGTTCCGTTTATTACTTTTGTCTGAAAAAAAAAAAAAAATCCACTATTTTAAAAATGTAACTGGTACAGAAACAATAAACTTTGCTTTCTTTAGTTAACCTACAATTCCAAAAGCAGTGGCTACAGGCAGAATAGCACTTCACCCCATATCATAAAAAAAAAACATTTCAGAGTTGGAGTCCCTTGTGGAAGTCACCTCAAAAACAAATCTTGTATGTAACAAGAGTTGGTGGTTCTCAAACTTGACTGGATAGTAGATTGTAAATATTGACAGACGCACATGTATTTTGTTTGTTTTGAATATTCAGTATTCATGACTGAGTCTATGTCCACAACGATCTGCAAGGGTACACGTGACGTATATTTTCTGGCCACAAAGCCCCATATTTGACAATGCAGACTGACCCCGCTGTAAGCATGTGCCAGAAAAACAGACGGTGTTAAATGTATATGATGCATTTGTAGCTACATGTTTTCCATCAACAGGCCCTAAACACAGCTCGAAATTCTCCAGAAATCCCGTGCCATGCCCACCCACTCTAGCAGGAATAATCATCAACTGCAACCAGCTGTTGTATCCTGTAAAAAGTGCAAAATCATAGCTCTCAGAAACATCCACAGCAGCCTTGTGTGTTTTCTGTGTTCGACGGGGAGCAACGCCACCATCTGCAGCAGACCAACACATACCTATTGTATGGCATTAGTCATGTGGAAAAGTATGAATTAGACATCACATAACTGCTAAGAGTAATCGTTTGAAAGTTTTCCATTCAAATTATTTTGTTTTATTTTTCTGTCAACCTGATGTTTTGTCTTCCTCATGCGTCACCAGGTTTGAGCTATCAAACATGTGTCCCAAGATGGATCTGTACAGTGATAAAACACGTTATTTTCAAAACTAAATCAGCCTATCTTGTTTTGTTTTCAGTCTAACATCGTGTACCTCTGTGTAAGCACAGCTTGCTGTATCACTGTGCTCTCCAGCCATAAAACAAAGCTGTTGTATTTACCATGCATTCAAGAGCACATACTGTAAAGTGTGTGTTTAGGTGATGACACGTGGTCATACGTCACCGCCTCTGAAGAGCTTGCTCCACGCAGCACAATTCGTTCTGGCTGCAGCCTCTGTGGCTGTGTCCTTGTCTTTGTGAATGAGAGCGGTTTGAGTAGTGAGAGGAAGGGACAAGTCATGACGTGAATGGAGAAGTGCTTCTGTGAACGGCTGGACTCAGAGAAAGTACAGCCACTCGGCTCAGTGCTCTTTCAGAAGAGGGCCTCTGTTCACAAGACTCTATGTTTCAGCCAAACATCTCTTTTAAGAATTTTACTCTCTTTCTTTACTCTTTTTTGTCTTACATTTGTAGCACTGAAGTGGATTTGAAAAAATCAAGATTAGCTAATTTAAAAAAAAAAAAAAAGTCTTTTGAGAAATCATTCAAATTCAAAGCATGTGCCTCCCACTAGCTAATATTGTTAGATGTTCACAGGAGATTTCAAAGCCTCAGCACATAAAAAAGGCCAAGGTTTGTAAAAAAAAAAAAAAAAGAAATACAGTGGGTCCCTAGTATTTCGCAGGTTAACTGGGCTACAATTTTGGGAAAAGCGTGGGAGTTCGTTTGCAGCTTTCATGGGCATGGGTAATAAAAACCACACCTTCACCAGTTTATTTCCCTAAAGGCTAATTTTTCCACGCAAGTCAATTTGCAGCCTCACCTTAGTTTCTCGGAGAAGGAACTGCAGGTCTCGACCACTCAGAATGCCGTGGTTCTTGACGTAGCTGGGGAGGTGCACGGTGCTGGTGCCGTGCACGGTGCCGTGAACCTCCATGTAGCTGTGGATGATGTCGAGGTATTTCTTCTTGTCCTGGAATAAACACAGAGAGAAAAAAAATATAAGAAACTGTTTTTTTAAGTGAAGCGATGTCCAAAACAACAGAACCCCCCTCAGTCTTTTTGTGTGACTTTGAATATGTCTTTCCATTATAAAATTACCACCTACTCTTGCAAAATGCAGGCACAAATTGATATTAATTCAGTAAAAAAATCATTCAGGTTATTTAGGCTAAACTGGTATAATCCACCGAAACCATCCTAGACTGCAAGCTTTTGAATTACATTTTCTCCGAGAGCGGATCATCATTACTTTGTAATGTGGCCTGGTGAACTTCTGTTCGAGCTACCTGACTGACCATCTGGTCACAAAGGCAGGCGGCGCTAAAAATAGCTCCGTATGAGGAGCGTCCATGCACACAATAGCTATTGTTGTTAAAGTTCACCTGATCTGTGATGTCCTTGATCAAAAACACATTAAAGCACTAAAAATGTGCCAAAAACCGTGTTACCTTTATACCAAAAGCCTTGTCCGGCCTATTTTTTTAATCACACAGGAATGCTGTCAAGCTGATTTTGAGGTCAGAGGCGGAAAAAGAAAAGAAGGAGCATTAAATTACATATTTAAAGGGGGACTTCACTGATACCGGAGCGCTCCTCAGCTGTATAATGTATTTTATGGCCATGGATGAGCATCAGAATGGAAAAATGACCCCTAATCATTTCATACATAGTTAGGGGTTTTAGACAGATCAATTCTCTTTTGTGAACACATTTCTGTGTATTGTAACAAAAATCAGGTTGCTTCAGAGCCTAAAATACTGGTCATCGTCAGACAGATCAAAGCAAAAATCATGATGACGTTGCTGCCATGTGTGGTAAAAAATAAAACAGGGTGGATCACAGAGCCAGTCTGACATAGTGGCTCAACAGGTTTGCAGATATAACATAATCCCTCAGCTGAGAATGTGTGTTGTTGCCAGGAAACAAATCGGTGATGGGGGGGATGTTTGTAACAGCCAAATACATTGAGCATAAGTTACCATGTGATCTTGTGAAAACTGACACCGGATTTGAACGGATGCTGCAGCTCAAATGTGTTGGTTTGCATTAGTGCTCTAAGCAGAACTGGTGCATGGACAAGGACTAAACCAGTTCTCTGTTGGTTAAAAAACCCCTGTGTGGCAGATAGAGGGTTATTTTGACTTGAAGCGATCAATTAAGTTACAATCGGGAGCTTCACAGTCATCGGCTTTATCCAGGCAGCGAGGGTCTAATAAATAACGCTGTCAATTTGTTTTATGGGAAATGTAGGATCCAGCATGTTTGGAGCTTGATAGAAAAACTAGGCATTAAAAGTCTCTCAGCTCCTGCTGCTTTGAAAATTTTTTTAATGTTTGAATTTGTCAATACTAAATAAGAGCCTCTTTACACGAGAATTTGTTTTTAAGTTGAGTTAATTCAGCTTCACTTTAAAGTTATATCATGATGAGAATATTTATTTCAAGCGTGTTGCCTACAAAGTAAAAGATCTGATCAAACAGTTTCACCCACATCCACCTTGATTAAGAACCTGTGAGTTCAAAACTGGTCAGTGTTTAAAGCATTTACATGCCAGAGGAAATAAATTGTCGTTAATATCACTTATTCATCGCCTAAGAGTGTGTTTCATCTTCAAGGGCACCTTTTATGTTTAGTTATTGCACTCTGTCTCCGCATTCTTTCACATGCTTGGCATTCAGGAAGTAAGTGCGAACAAGTGCAAAGTGTACTCCAGCAGGATTGAAAATGACACAAAAGATGCTGTAAAGTACCAAAAAAAAAGCAACTCAAGGGTGTGAGTTGGTGGTAAAAGGAAGATGTGGCAAGATGCGATGCCATATTATAGCCTCTTAGAAGAGTTCTCAATTAAAAAGAGGTCAACAGCATCCTGGACTTGTCGGTGATGTGCTCACATTATTTTTTAGTTTCTTGGCAATCATTGTCAAATTGCTCACAGGAGCCTCATAAGACTAAAAAAATAAGTCACGTTAATCAGTTTGGATAGAAACACAACTTTCATAATAAAAAGGCCTTTGATAGTCGCAGCGCTGAGATTGTCACAGCAGGTGTTTGATTTTCAAAAACAAGGACATAACTGTTGTATCATCCGGCCTCATTTGTACAAGAAAATATTCCCCTGTGTCTCCAGCCGAACTGAAGTGCGAAATACTTTTTCACTTTGTCCTTCGCCTTCTAAACGTCGAGCCAGGCAATAGCAACGTACAGCGAGCGCTCTTAAGGCTGAACCCTTCAGGGAGGCAGTATGGATGAAAGCCATTTTCTCTGTAATGACAGAAAGCCTCAAAGACGCACCCCAACACACACACACACTGGGATGTTATTGATTACAACAGTTTCAACGCTCACGGGGCAGCAAGGACTCATAATTGCTAAAAGCTACCTGTTTCAAATTCACACACATCTTCTGCACACGAGCCTGCCTTTGAAACTGTTCTGCCTCCAGGACATTTCTCTTCTCTGTGGAAGTGTGTGTGTGTGTGTGTCTACCTCAGTGCTTCCTTTTGGGGCTTAAATTTCAGGTAGCCGCTCGTCAAGCTCCCTGGAGGCCTGGCTATCAGATGCCTCCAGCCAGCCTACTGTAACTAAAGCAGCTTGGTGTGTGTGTGTGTGTGTGTGTGAGCAAGAGAGAGACGAAGCTCTAATTAGAAGGTGAAATCACTATCCTGTAATCTTTTCACTCAGGAGAGCTGAGCTAGGATTTGTGTGTATGTTTGAGAGGGGGGGGATATAGAAATGAAGGCAGGTATCTGAAGAGGAACTTCCAAAATTTCTATGCGAGAAATCAGAAGCGGATGAAAAAAAAAAAGACAAGCTGACACACGTGAGTGAAGAAATCGCTATTAAATCTGATATTTCTGACGTTTACCTCGAACAGCGAGGCTAGAAAGCCCAATTATTCCAATGCAGTCTGGCGATTCATATCAGTATTTTGAATAATTTAGGACATTTCTCTCACTTTTAAATCAACTTTTGGTGCCTTAGCCGGAACTGCAAGTAGGAACAGACTTAAACTACAGATGTATGTTGTTGTTCAACCTCAAATTAATAGTAATCAAAGAGACCAGTATTTTTAAACTAAGCAGGGATCCTGTCAATCACAACTAGGCTTCATTATTAACTAGGACTATGTGCAGTGATGGTATGAAAGCTTCATGTGATGCCGAAACACTCGCCTCTGTTTACTGGAAGATCAATAAGTTTGTCTCCTCTTCTGCTGGAGTTCAATCTGCTGTTCATCCTAATCTTTCACTTATATCTTAAAGCATTAATTGCTATTGTTTTCCAGCCCTAGGTAATCTGTGGCTGCCTCCTGGCTTAGCTGCTAGCCGTTAGCCTTGGCCACTATGACGGCAGTCAGTTCCCTGATTCGTGGTGATAGCTGTGCTTCTTGTGCAGTTTATGCAGGTTTGTTTTTTTCTGTCGGGGCAGATTGCTAAAATGAATCTTACTTTAGAATGTTGTCACAGATATTCCAGATAGCATTAGCCACAGGCCTGGCAGCAAGTGTCCCAGCGATAGCCTTGCACCATCAGCAAAAAAAAAAAAAAAGCTGCACTTGTACTGACACCAATAAGGGAATTATTCTGACATTTTCAGTGCAGCGGGAAGACTGGGCATGCACGTGGAAGACTGTGGCGTTTGTTACAACTTCAGCAGTGTCCACTACCTCACCTTGAGCTCCCCTGCTTCACAACAGCTGATTCAGTCTGTAAAAGCGTCCATCTGTTACTGTCTGTAAACTGTAGCTTCCAGTGTTGACTGGCTACTCGTGACATGTAAAAAAAGTCAGACAGTGGTGTGGGCGGGACATTGCTTAGAACAGAGATCCAGCTGCATCACAGAATAACACATTTCATTTATTGGTAATCAGTTAATAAAAGTAACTGATATTCTGGAAAAACGCCTCATATGGCCCCCAGTAAGCAGCCAAGCCGATGATTGCTCGATCCCTAGTGTCAATCAGTTAGAGCAGATTGCTAAAATGAATCTTCCTTTACAAAGATGCTACAGGTTCTCCAGGTATAATTAGCATTAGCCACATGCTAAGAGCCACAGCAAACCTCTTAGTGGTGGCCGAGCACCATCAATAAAGTAAGAAGCTGCTACGACACTAATAAGTGAGTTATTGCGAGGTTCTATGTGTAACAGGGGAAACTAGGCTTGCTTGAGTAAGATTGTAGTGTTTATTACAACATCAGCAGCTTCAACTTTACCTTGGAAACACAGCAAACTGACTGCCGCGCTGTCTGTACCACAGCAGCTTTCATGATTGACTAATGCTCGAAACATCTAACACATCCTGTGCTGTGGGTGGGACATTACTAGAGACACAGTGATTACAAATAGAGAAAGCTAGCTGCGTCATTTTATTTGTTTTATCTGGAAACAGTTAGTAAAAAACAACAATAATCTGGAAATTGCCAAATATCAGACCTGATAATTACATAGGCCTTGTTGCAAACTAGTAAAAGAAACGGTGTGGCTGTGACTGTCTGCACAGGAAGGAAAAGAGAAAAAAAACGAAAGGAAGACATCATAAAGCCTCGAAAGGCAGCAGGATGTGTGTGTGTGTGAGTGTGTGTGTGATGTGTTTTTGATTGTAAGCGCTCCAGTGACTGTGTGCAGAGAGGACCATACAGTGGATTGCCATGACCCTGCAGGGCAGTCGCCACACAACACTTTACGGTCACTTGCCAGATGCTTTCTGGAGCGTGGCTGGATTCTTTCACACACACTTTAGATGAAATACAAGGGAATATGCTGAGAAAGAACTAAAAAAAAAATCCTCGAAAAAGGTTGAAGGGCATAAAAAAATCACGTCCCTGGTAAAAGCAAAACAAGAACACACAAGTGGGGCGACATGGTTGCAAAGAAGTGCATAGCCGGTTTTAGATCTATTGTGGATTTCCTCTGTTTCGCTTTCTTGTAATGGCATGTCAGCTCCCATTCATAATCCTGTTTCTGCTGTCA